CAAACATCGACCGTAGCACACGTCGTCTTCCGGCATCCCAAAAGGAGTATGTGTTGGACCGGCCTTCATGTGTGGCACGGCGGTCATATTGCCATGGCCTTCCCAACAATAACTGGCATGCATCCATCGGCAAAACATCACAAATCACTGTATCGGCATACTCACCAACCGAAAAACTTAGTCGGACCTTCTGAGTAACTTTCAATTTGCCCGATTGATATAACCATTCAACACAGTGTGGTTGTGGATGCTTCCAAGTAGGCAATGCTAAAGCATCTACCAAGTCCTTGCTCACCGCGTTGGTGTAGCTTCCTCCATCTATGATCAACTTGCAATTAATGTTATTGATTTTGCATTGAGTTTGAAAAATATTCCATCGCTGCCCCTTATCCTCAATGCGATCTTCTTGCACCCATTGCACCATCAAAGACGGATATGATTCAGGAGCTTCAAAACTCGCAACCACATCTTCAACATCTTCAGATTTTTCACCAGAAGTGTCAGAAACTGCCTCTTCATCACTAGCGGATGCATAGCCATCTCTCGTGAGCAACACTCTTTTCTCATTAGGACATTCACGCTTCATATGTCCCCTTCCTCCACACTTGAAACACTCTATGTCACTAGTGCGTCCGGTCGACTGTGCACTAGAATCAACCATTGACAGTCCTGATTTTGAAGCATCCTTTTGCACGGAGATCGATTTGATGATGTCGCCCTGGAGCTAGGACCGACATCCTCACTCTTATACTGCGAGCGTCGCCATGTGTTCAAAGTGGTAGTGGGAACAATGTTGACTTGGCGTCGCTTAATCTGTTGTTCCGCACGCACAGCTTGGTGCACAAGATCTTGTATGTTGTAGTAGACCACCATCTCAACACGATCCTGCACCTCGATGTTTAGCCCGTTAAAGAAACGAGCCATAGTCGCCTCCGGATCCTCCGTTGTCCCTGTACATATCATAAGCAATTCCATCTCCTTGTAATATTCATCAACACTCATATTACCTTGAGAGAGCCGCTGCAACTTGTTGTACATATCTCTTTTATAGTGCTCAGGAACAAAACGTCGTCTCATGAATTCTTTCATACCTCGCCAAGTCGTCGGCCGATGTCTTGAACGACAAATTTGATTCCACCAAATTAGCGAGTATCCGGTGAACTCAATTCCAGCAAGTTGAACTTTCTTCTCCTCGCTATAATGATGGGCATCAAAAATTTGATCAACACGCATCTCCCACTCCAAATAGCCTTCTGGTTCGCACTTGCCGGAGAACGAAGGGATTGAAATTTTTATGCGCCTAATTCCATCATCCAAAGGCACACGCACAGCTTGACCAACTCGGTCATGCACTCCACCACGAACGGATGTTTCGGGACGAGGCTCATAGTGTCGTGGTCGTGGCGCGTACCCCGCATGGTCAATGCCATCATCGAAACCATCATCTCCAGCATGAGGGTGTGCCGCCAAACGGCGATCATGCACGCCGGTATGTCCATCGCGAGCTGGTGGTGCATAATGCAGTGGAGCAGCCGGAGCAGTCTGTGGTGGTGCAGAATTCGATGCCGGCATATTGATGATGTCTGCCAAACCATCAAACCGAGTGATCAGGACATCTATCCTTTTGCCGAGCGCATCATGACATTGCTTGATGTAGTTGCATGTGTGGTCAAAACCATCCCGAATATTTTGAGGAATATCATCCGCGTACACTGGACGTACAATTTCCTGAGAATTAGCAACAACCTCGTCTTCCTTGTTGACCGAGGTCGACATCTTGATCAACACAATACCGTGAACAACCTTAGCTCTGAATACCACTTGATAAAGACCCGACTAGATGCGAGTCATTCGTCGGCCCGATCTTTCACGGTACTAGCAGCAACAACAAGAAATTCCGGTCGAGCAAAGATACAAGACCATAATATCAAAAACTGGCGTCGAGCAGACGGAATCAACTCCACGCGTAGCAGCGACAAAATCCGTCACGGATCAGCAAAAGCAAATACGATATTTGGTATCCCCAGACATGAGATGTTTTCTGACTATTATTCAACTCACGACAAAACAAAACTTGTCCCTTTACACGGCCAGATCAGCCAGTATTTAAGGAGCACGCAGGCTCTAGTTCCTAAACCGACTCTAACCTTCCGTACTCCACGTAACAAACCATATCTCTTTTACTAGTCAAACCTGAAACCCAAGTACTAGTAGGACTCTCTTTTATCTCAACTAATTAATCTCACCTAATTAACTATTCGGCCAACCGATCACCTAAAAAAACTTGGACTACGTACTAGTGCTAGATGGAGCCCATACAAAAAATATTCAGTACGGAACTTTCTATGCAACACACGGAGTTCTGAACGTTGGTCTGACTTCATCTGGTTTTGCTTCTGGTGATGGTATTTTAAGTGCAATTTTACCCACCATTAAAATATTAGAATTTGTAGCTGGATCAATCTTTGCAAATGCAGTAGTGGACACATCAGGAGGGGGCCGCGGCGGTGTGGCTAGGGTTCCCCCACCGCCGTCTGGGGAGGCGACGCGGGGGTCGTGGAAGGGTTTCGCTGATGCACATGTGAAAAACAAATGTTCAACGGTTTCTTCCATTTCCACCATTGCACAAAATGCAGCGATCATGATCACCTATATTGTACTCCATTCGTCTCATAATATAGAAATGTTTTTGACACTAGTGTAGTGTTAAAAACATTCTTATATTTTGGAACAGAGGGAGTTGTGTCTTCGGCGGAGCATATTCTTTCCGTTGACTCTATCGGCCAGCACAAGCCAAGCAAACACTTCGAGCTTCGTGGTGCATCTTGACTACCAAATGCATTTTGAGCCGGGGCCGTCCTTGCAACCATGTTAACATTGCAGGTCAATAAATCTCTCCCATTTGCCTTAAAAGAATATATTTTTTGCGGGGTGCCTTAAAAGAATCTAGCCACGTTTTCCCTCTAAAACACCCGGCGCAATGTCCACCGACGTGTTTTCGAAGCCAACAACCCCTAACAAGAACAACGTGCACCCCATCTCTCTTATGTTGCTTATCACTATATACCAACATGCCCAAAGATTAAAGCCACACTAAACAAAGCAAAGAAGCGATCGAAGGAAACATGTTGACCAGACTTCTCTTGAGCGCAGAAACCACACGGTTTGCTCCTTTGACAATTGCGCTCTCCACAGACGCTCGCGAAGTTGCGGGGCAATGGCCGTGCGCGCGTGTGGCAGCGAGACAGCGAGAATCCGAGGAGTACCCCCAAGTGGCTAGCGGCCTAATCGCCTGTTCGGCCGTTATTCTCGCGGCGCGGTCGTCGGCTCATGATGCGCCGCGGCCCGCGGTGGGCGGCTCCGCATTTCCCACCACCTCCGACCTCCGAGTTAGGCGCCACAGCAGCATCAAACACGTCACTAGTATTTCCTCTGTTTTTATTTAGCTCACGTATTAGCTTTGGTCAAAGTCAAACTTTGTAAACTTTGATCAATTTTATAAACAAAAATATTAACATATAAGATAACAAATCAACATCATTAGATTTATTATTGAATGTACTTTCACATAGTATAAATTTGTTATGGTAAATGTTTATATTATTTTCTATAAATTTGGTCAAACTTGACGAAATTTGACTTCAGTCAATTTTAATATGCGAAGTAAATAAAAACGGAGGGAGTACTCTATTTTCTACTACTAGTACGTACTAGTACTACTATTCAACTGCAGATATTTCCCTCCCTTCCTTCCTTCCTTCACTTGCAAACCAAACCAAACCAAACCAAAGCAAGCACCCGCTGGCCGGTGGCCGCGGCTGCTTCCTTTCCCGTGGCATTTAAAAGCGCGTCTCGCCCGCTCGTCCACCCCCACACCGTCAACTCTGCCCTGCCCCGCCTCCGACCCCAGGCCAAACGCGAGAGCTCCACCGACAACAACCCCAGCCTTCCCAAGATGCAGCGGCAGCTCAACCTCTCGCCGGCGCCGAAGCAGCAGCAGCACGACGACGGCGACGGCGGCGACGCGGTGGAAGCGATCCCCCTTTGGGTGCCCGAGCAGTCCGCGGAGGCCAAGGCCGACAAGGCGCCCGGCGGCCGCCCGGAGAGGTCCATCCACCTCATCCCACTGCTCACCTTCCTCTGCTTCCTCCTCCTCTTCCTCTGCTCCCACGCCCCCTCCTCCTCCGGTAAGCATCATCGCCCATGGCCACAGATCCAGATGCACAAGTTCATGTGAAATGAAATAGTCGTCGCGTGCTTTCCCTTCTGACGATTCGCGTTTTGACTTGGTCTTTCTTTCTTAGATATGTCGAGCTTCGGCGGTGGCGGTGGCGGCGCCGGCGCCGGCGGACGGAAGGCTGGCAACCGGAGGCTGATGATGCTATAAGCTTCTCGTATCAGCTAGTATATCACACCTTAAATTTTTGCGGCTCCTTCCTTTGCCAGTTTCAATCCAACAAAGCGATGTAATCGTATACTGTACTTGTGGAACATCAGTAATGAAATCTTGAATTGTATGCTTGCCTTGCCTCCTTGCTTCCAGGATTCTTGGTCGTTTCAGTTGCTTCTCAACGAAATTGAGATGATAGTAGGACATCTGCTTACAGAATGTCTTGATAATTTGACGTGGCCCAAGGTGGAATAGATGCAATTATGCATTGACCTTAAGTCCCAACACATTGTTGGTCTGATCCACACTTCAACTAGCAGCGCAAGCGCAACGCATGGTGCGGATGTTGCATATTCAAATGGTTTCAGAGAAACCAGAATTTGGATGCAGAATCCCATTGTAGCAAAGGCTCTATAAAAACAAATGAAAATACACCGGGCAGTCGGAATCTAGAAAATAAGCAGACACCATGGTTACTTTGTACAGACAATAAAGCTTGTGGCACCACTTTCCTTCCATAATAAAACAACAACACATCGACAAAACAAACTACAGAAGACAATATAATTCAGTTGCAGCTGCACTATCAAATAAATCATCAAATGCATCCCTAGGCAGGTCCGGGCTTCTTTGGGGAATTGCTAGATTTTGCATCATCAGTGGCCATGCAGACGGCGATGGTTACAGGGCTGCTTGGAATATTGCTGTTTGCAACTTCAGTGACCGGTTGCTTGTGTTCCTGCTCAGTTTGCTCAGCCATCAGCAGACTTTCAGGTGTGCTGGCCTTCGGTAACTCAGCCTCCTGATGCTTATGCTCCTCAGCCGTTATTTCAGTATTTTCTTGAGTTTGGGCCTTTGCGATATCACCATCTTGAGATTTCTGTTCGTCTTTACCCGTTTCAGTATCTTCTGGTTTGTTGGTCTTTGGACATTCGCCCTCCTGATCTGCCATTTGGCCCGTTTCAGTATTTTCTGGAACAGACACCTTAGCTGGATCACCTTCCTGACACTTGCTCTCTTGTCCTGCCTCTTCAGAACTCTTCACGAGTTCATCTTCCTGCTCAGCCATCGCCCTTTCCTTGTTGTAGGCCTCAGTCGCAGTCGTCGCAACTTTGCTGTAGGCACCAGTTACCCATGCTGCGCCGGTAAGGATGTATCTGTGTCTCATGAACTTGGAACCAGCAGTAGAAACAGTCTGCTCCGCAGCTACCAATGCAGACTTGGTCTTCTCTGCAACCTGGTATTTCTCATCCATTTCCTTCATTTTCTCATTCACCACTATGGTGCCAGTGCTGATCTTCTCACTGAGGCCCAGACTCTTATCAATGGAAGATACTTTAGCACTTGCAGTCGACGTGAGCTGATGTGTTTCATCAAAAGTCTTTGCCTTTTCAACGGCGTCCTTGCCAAGAATAAATCCTTTGGCCAACATGGAACCAGCAACATCCTCTGCCTTTCGAAGGGCAGCTTCTATGCTACTAGGACTTTTTGACTGGGAGTGCAAAGAGTGTCAGGAGTTCTAAGACTACTGAAAGAAGTTGAGAAATCATAGATAAATGTAGAATTAGCATGGTCCTAGAATCCTACCTCTAAATCATCTAAAACGGCTGCTGGCAGCTGGTAATTTGTGGCTGGGGTGATGATGACAGCCATATCCACTATAGTCGCACCCTGCAGCAAAAAATGGAAATCACACAGCGAACAAATAGCTACAATGATTATGTTAAGAGGTAGAGAACTCGTACTGTCAAAAGCATTGCCCTCTCCGCTCCTTGCTCATCTCTGAAGGTGATGTAGGCGAACTGAGAACGCCCATCACCACTGCAGAGCATCGCTAAGTTAACATAACGCATGTTATATATAAATCTAAATGATAACAGATATATAATGGAGATCATGTGGCACTAGCCTTTGCATTTCGACATGTACGATGTCACCAGAAAAGCTAAAGAACTCCTTGATAACTCGTTCTGATGCTTGAAGTGAGACATTGTGGACCTTTACTGTGCTAAACATGTTTGTCTTGAAAAATGGAATGACCATGAAGGAATTAATTAGCATAATATTTCAGCTTTAACACTCTTCACTAGTAAAACAAAAAGGTGTCGAATATATTTCTTTCTTCAGTGACCAAATAAAGAACAAATAGCGAGATATTGTCCGGGGTTTTCTAAACGGAATCCAGAAGAAGAAATTATCTAGGAGTATACATGTTTTATTATCATATACAGATGCATTTTAAATAACCATGTGTTGCAAGACCTCATTCAATTTTGTACGAGAAACAAGCATAACAGCCAAAAGACACAGCCAATTCTTTTGTTTCTCCAACACGCAGCAGTCATTTTGTATTAAAAGACACATCAAGATGATCTGATGCAAAAAACGGAGAACCGAATATATAAAAGAAACAAAGGGTTGTAAGCTAGCCAAAGGAAAAGGCAAAACTGAAACTAAAGCTCAAAACAGAGAAACTGAAACTGCACACCAAGCTAGCCAAAGTCTACAGCCTGGGGTAGGGTAAGTTTTAAAATGCACTCTGTTTAGTGGTCATGTGAGCATATGATAGTATGGAGTAAACAGGCATATATCGGAGCAAAATGGAAGCATGAAACATCACGTGATGCTTTTTATGCTTACAATTCTACAAATTGCACGATTTTCTAATGGTTGTTCATGTGAGCATATGCTTGAATGTTACACATCACTTTGAAGTTTGAAGTAGGTCAAACACCACTATTACATATATGGTTCATATCCTGATAAGTACTATTTCCATGGCTCGATCACCAATGCAAAAGATCCGGATCCATGTAGTACCAAAATAATTCCAAAGGCCATTTGCCAGAATAAAGAACTTTCATTAGACTACGAAACAGTCGATGCCCAAATGGATCAAAATTAACGAAATGTAAACCGGAATAATTCTTCCTCTTCGAAGCATGCAAGCCCAGAAGAACATATAACAAACTACACATTCTTAGCAGCTCAAGCCACGGTGCATCATGTTTATCGGCAGAAATACACATTGATCCGCTGGCAAAGCAAAGGGAAATTTCCAGGATTCAGACGTTTCAGATTTTCTCCCATGGCCTCCGAAATATTCAGACAAATCCTCCAGTAACCCCAGAAGCATTGTGGACGCAGCAAGCACGGCGTGTAATGCAATCACGCAACGAAATAAAGCAAGACTTTCTAAATACCAATATGAATTTTGAGAGAAGGAACATTATGAGATCAAATGCTCACATTACTCCAGGCCCATAAGAATGGAGGGACCTGGGGAGTGGAAGACGAGGAACTGGTTCTCACCTCCGCCGGTGCGATCCACTCGGCTCCCGACTCCGACGACGAACTCGGATCGGGGATGAGAAAGCGGGGAAGAGGCGACGGGGGTGGATCCACCGCGCGCATTTTGCAGCCGGTTTCGTCGGAGCAGGGGGTGGTGACGCGGAAACTTGGAGGGTGGCGACGAAGCGACGTGGCTTTGTGGCCCGCCTCTCCGGCCTTAAAGCCCAGTGACGGCCCCAACGAAGCCCAGTTAGTTAGCCTTTCTCTCTCGCTGCTGCTCCCTTCCGCCTCCATCCTCCTCCAGCCGCGACAGCGCGCGCGGCGTTTCGTTCCAGCGCGATACATCGGGGGTGGTCGGCGAGGCGAGGCGGCGGTGGGGGATGGCGAAGGCCGGCGGGGGCCTGATCTGGGCGACGGCGGAGGACCTGGCGCGGAACCGGCCGGTGGTGCTGTCCATGTACCGGCAGATCCTGCGGGCGCTCAACTCGCCGGCGCTGCCGCTGGGCCACGCGGCGCGGCTGGCCAAGAAGGCCGAGTGCCGCGCCATCTTCATCTTCGGCGCCGAGGAGAGGTCGCTGCACAACATCCAGGACCTCCTCGCCGCCGCGCGCCACACCCTCGGCCTCCTCAACCGCGGCCGCGTCCCCTAGAGAGCAAGGAACGAGCCTAGCCCTAACCTCCTCGCGGGTACCTCGTCTCTTCCCCGTTTACTTTAGCCTATGCTCGAGTCGATTGTAATGTAGTAGTACGGCATTAATCTGGTGCCATTTTGTTCAATTGAAACAATCCGCAGCCCAGTCGTTCCTCTATGTATGCACTGCAAATCATAAATATGTTGCGAAGCCGATAAGAAACGAAAATTGTCGCCATGAATCCAAATTGTGCGTTTAATTTTGCAATCACTGAATGCTGTTGATGAAACAGTTTGTGTTACTGTTCTCCAATTCAATCAATTGAGATGAACAGTACTGCTCTGAAAGGTATTTTTGCAACCAGTGTCAAAGTTTATATGAACTAGCATGCATTTGTGTTGCCCAAATGACTGATTGTCGCACATTGCGGCTGATAATTATTGTCTTTTCTCTTTTGCGTGGATGACTACGTCCTTTACAGTTTACACGCATCTAGAAGCTTTGCTCTCTCTCTCTCTCTCTCTCTTTTGGTGGAGAGTACAATAGAAATGTATGATCATACTATTACACTCACACAACTCCAATGGATCATGACTAATCTTGTAGCTGTACCTTGAGAGTGAAAGAGATTTAGCTTAGAACACAGGGCACACACTATCCGGGCCCAAGTCTACCCCTTTAGCAGTGGGGCATGAGGCCAGAGGACAGTGCTCGCCCGCCGTGCCCCACCAGTTGACTGTCCGGTTCTCCATGGTCAGTGTGAAGTACAGCAGCACCGCCATGAACGCGACGCCTGCATCGAGCGCGGCAGAGAGGATGTAGTTGTACCTCTGCCACCACTTCTTCCGGTACCGGAACACGAAGAAGTTGAAGATGGTGCCTATCAGCAGCCATGAGTTGTAATTCACGGCTGTCGCTGGTGGCATGTTGGCTGTAGCGCCGATGAGCACCGGCAGGTTTATCATCAGTATCCACCTCTGACTGGGGAATATCCTGTGGAAGATGTACACGATGACAGGGCCTGCTGCGCCGATGAGGAAGAACCAGTTGACGGCTTCGTAGTTACCATGTGGCCCGAAAATGCGCTTCGGGCCAACAAGGCCCCAGATGACCGATGCGTCAAAGAAGACACGGTCACCAGGGCATGTCCATGGGCTGTCTGGTGGCAGCAGTTGGTCCTGGCAGATGTTCTCGACAGAGCCAAGTAGCCACCATGCCACGCTGAGGTTGACAGTCCCGGCCACCAGTGTACCGGCAAACTGGATAAATACAGTGCACGAATGTCAGTAAATTTATCTTCCTACATGTCTCTCCTTTGTTTACAAGTTACAACTTGAGCAGATTTAGTGGTTTAATTACCTGAACAATGAACATTGATCTTGGAGGTATCTTCATGTAGTGTCCGAGCTTGAAATCTGAGAGGAATGCAACTGCCTGCGACATGCTCATGTAGCCGTACACCTTGAAGCAGACATTGGCGATGGGGTATCCAGGCATTATTAACCCCATGGCGTATTCAGTGATGACATTCAGGCCAGGAGTCTGTCCATCAAATTTGAAAGGCTTTTGGTCAGTTTTTCTTGTAGAGATCATGAAAGAGCAGGACAAATGGAGAAACAATTAAAATTCTGAAATAAACTTGCCTGGTTAGTGGTTGCAGTAATGATGCTTATGGGGAGCGTGAAGACAAAGGCCATGCCACAGGCGAAGAGGAGGCCCCACCATGGGAGCTGAACCTGGTCCTTTAGGACGGTGCAGAGGATGAGGGACACTGTCATCGACAATACCGTCAGGGAGTAGAACCACCACGCTGGTATGTCGTCGTACTTCCTCATCAGCTTTGTGTGGATGTCAGGCTCCTCCTGCTGCGAAGCACGGAACCGGTGGTAGATCTCCCTGTGCATTGGTGTCCAATTGCAGATGTGAATTTTCCATCTTTCAGTTCAAAAAACACATGTATTCAAAGCTGAGCTGTGTCAGTTTATTCACATACAGAGTTGAGAGCACTTACTTCCCGTAGAAGATGCCGACGTGCGTGATGGTGGAGGCAATGGTGGCGAAGCTGAGCCCATAAGAGAGTGCGAAGAAGGTGCTGAGGTTTATCCTTCCGAGCCTTGCATACGCCTCCGTGTCAAGCTGGAACTGCTGGTTCACAATGTCAGTGATCTGATATGCCGATCCGTTAGACATGAACAGGTGCGATGAGAATATGGGGAACGTCTTGGCGTTGTAGAGGTTCATCCCCCAGTACGCCGTGGGCACGAGCACATAAAGGAAGCAGAAGTAGCCGACGAAGATGTTGGCGGTGGCGAAGAAGGGTGAGATGAGCGGGCTGAAGAGGAAGGAGGAGACGGCGGACCAGTCGAGCGTGAAGGCCCCTAGGCCCAGGCCCTTCATGCCGGAGCCGAGCTGCTGCGCGGTCACGGACTTGGAGAAGACCCAGCACACCCATGAGATGGAGGTGAGCGCCGGGAAGAGGTAGCCCGGCACGACGTACCACGCGAAGCTGCAGATGAGCGCCACCAGGAAGAACTTGGAGCGGGAGATCTGCCGCGAGCCCTTGGTAGACTCCTCCTTCTCGTGCAGTGCCCTGGTACATACATAATACAAGGGTGGTGTTAGTGCCGATGCTATGCAGTGCAGAACTTTCACAGTTTTATGGATTCGAATTGTTGCCATGTAAAACGGATTGATCCATCAATCACCATTCATCAGTTCACCATTGATGGCAGTACTAGCCTATACATAAACGGCCTGATATATATAGTTTGCCGATATACAATACTTTTTCCCCATGAAAAGTGTGGATTACATCCAGCGATCTCTGGTCAGATAATAAGCCAGAACTGGAAGCACCGCACCTTGTTTACCATTTCGTCGAAGTTCGAAGGCAATCACGGCTGTTTACCCCCTCTGCCTCGGAATGTAAGACGTTTTCCGACACTATTATAGTCTCAAAATGTAAGACGTTTCTTTGGTACTATCGTTTTACATTTTGAGATGGAGGGAGTAATAGTAACCAAGTCATCGTTGCATGACAACAGTACGACCGGATAACAATTGATTTGGTGGCCAGTTGGCCACCAAGGATCGCGGGCATGTGGGAGGATCGCGCCTTTTGTGGGCGCAACTTGGACCTGGACCTGGACCACGAAAATACAACACTAATCCATCCAGTTGCACGCAAATTTACAAACGCGCGTCGTACCTCCATCAAGGTGTCAATACTGTGCAGTGCAAGTTAGGCCTTCAGCCGTCGTCGTACCCGGCCGGCCGTGCGCGGCGCGGGGCGCGTTCACATCACGCCCTCGGCGTGCCGCCGATCCATCATACGACGACTTCCGAAGGCCGCCTTGGCCTACTCTCGAATCCGGGCGCATCGCAAGAAGAGCGATGCGTCTGTCCGGCGCTGACGAAGACAAAACACGCCCGTGCACCCAAGCGTCGCCCTCCAGTCGACTCGACGGACGGAATCTAAATCTGCTGACCGCTGAGACGTGCTCCCAACTGTCTCGAAAGCTACTGCTACTGCTGCCGCTAGTGTTTTCATTCGGTTTCTTCGAGCTGTTTTGGCAGCATGCACGGCCAGCTGATCATTAGTCTACGATAGGTTGACGACGGACCCAGCCCCCCACTGTTCCTGAATAACTATTTCTACTTGAACCAAGAGCAGGATGCCGCCGGAAATTCGGAATGATGCCGTTGAAGCGCAAGGCTGTCATTTGTCAGCGACTGGTGTTTTGGTGTATCTCAGTTCTGATGAAATTTTGGGGCTGATCCGAACCTCTAAGTGGGAAAAGAAACATGTATATCGGTGGAGGCAAGGAGGCTGGCGCCACATATTAAACGAGACGCCGACTAGATTCAGCCGTTCTGGTATCTGTCTGGGTGTGAATGGTAGGTGGGTTGCGGGTTGGTTTAGGGAAGAAAACTAGTGTCAATTGGCGTAAGATGGGGCCTTGTGCTACTAGATAGTATCAAAACGATACTCTTGTAGTGCATCATGGCAGGCAAAGGTGATGTGGCCTGTAGGGCCTGACTAGTGCGTTAATCATATCTGTCATCATAGTATCATGCAAGCACTGCATTGGTCCAAATCAAACCTCGACATCAACCTTTTCTTAGTGCCATTTGCGATTCACGTATTCTCAAAGCGCATAAAAAGGAAAAGACACGGGATTAGAATGGCATGTCATCTTTAATAATCCATACATGGTTGAAAGGCTGTTTGGTTATGCAAGGAAAAGCGTAGGATTATTCAAATAGGATTTGAGAGGATGGAAATTTTCCTATTAAATCTGATACAAATGAATCCCCACAAAAAATTTGTATGTATCACGATCATACAAATCAGACAACTAATGTACGGAAATTTCTTAATGATGAAGTTCCTCTAAAATTCCTTTGAAAATCTTTTGAACCGAAGTCACCCTTCGATAATTGGAGGGCGAGAACTCAGGACGTGGCACTACGATCAAATTTTCCTATATATTTCTGTTTTACTAATCAAATAAACCCTTGGAGTGGAGGAGAGTAAAACCTTTCCACCCATAACCTACCACGCTATAGCTTTCCACCCATGCGTGCGCCACAATCAGTATTCAGTCGGCCTAGATAACGCCTAACAAAGTTCCATGGACAAGCAACAGCGTGTTTGCATTTGCAATGCACTACAAGTACGTAGTCTAAAAAGCAAAACAAAACGTACCCTCGGTGCTCGGAAAGGCCAGACATAATCCAAGTGGCGCAACTAAGCACTATTTTTCTGCAAGAATGCATTGGACAACGTAATGGTCGTTTGGGTTTAAATCATCATCAGCAGCTTATCCATCCGCCGATCCAGCGGATGGATACACTCCCATGTTCATGGTGGGGTCTTTCTTTCTGCTCTTGCGTCAGTGTCGAGAGGGACAATGATAATCAAGAGGAAAAGGAAGGGGGGACATCGGACTGAAATGCATGTCAGTGTCTCGCGAGATGTAGTAATAGTACTAGTACTCATGCTCGTCAGATTTTCT